TAATCAGTGAGTTGATTTGATTGCATCACCTGAACTTGTGGGTCCAGGAGTTCCTATTTTAGTTTGAAGGCATTATTGCTTGTAAGAGTAGAAGGGGTCAGTGGCTTTAAGAAGAGTGCCTCTGTCTCAGAAATGTCAATGCCATCACCTGTGGTTCAATAAATGAACTTTCATTCCTTTGAGTTTTAGAAGTTTTTCAAGTTTTGAAAGCCTCTAATTCAAAGAAGGAAGGCAAATAATTCACACTTTAATGTATTAGCAATTAATGCCTTAGATTTCAGTTAATATTCTGAGGATTATTTGGCAGCCAATGACTAGTAATATTTTGTGAGAACTTGGAAATTAGGCACATGAGAGATACCTAAATGAGGGGCAATGATTGCATATATCTTTTGACATTTGTGAAACACAGGCAACCCTTTTAAGAAGTACTGGTTTATAACATTTTTTCATGAGGCATATTCTAATTTTGAGATATTGTCTATGTGTGATAATTGTCTGGTTTTATTCTAAGATGTTCATTATTTATTAATATGTTTTAAATAATTAATGTCTGTCATAGTGTCTTAGGAACTTCCCCCGCCTCCCATTTTTAACTAGTTTTGATATGTGAGAGCAAGTCCAGATATATATGTTCCCTTCAATTGAACGAAATAATTATGGGATGCCAAAGTGTTGAGTGAATACCTTTTTTTCAAAAATAGTATCTGTAATTCAGTTTCTGCTTTCTGGTTTTTCTGTGTACACTTGGATTTGTCAGCTCTAGTCAAGAAATATATTATTTTAAATTGGTTACCTAGATCTATTGTGATTTTTTTCTTGTTCCTACATGGACATGCCCCAATATTTCCTGGACTGAAGGCAGTTGAAGAAAAAGCTAAAATGTGAACAAGTTGATACAATAAAATATAAATAAGTAAAAAAGAGAGAAGAGTATTAAAACTAGATGCTAAATATTATCTGGGGAATTTCATTAATGGATTTTCACAATTTCCCATTACCTCAGATAACTCAAAATAAAGGAAATAAAGAGACCCCCTAGTAAAAGTGAAACAGAGTTTGTTTTGTTCAGTACTGTATTTGATAACATTTTGACAACCATGTTATTCTAGAAAATGATCAGTGTTTCCAGATGTTGTTCCTAATTTCTAATGACAAGCTAACCATCACAGCTTCAACGAGTTGTATTTATTTCTTGTTCACATAAGGATATTTTCTGATTCATTGAATTCAACATTTCTGTTCTGTTCCAACTACGTAAAAGACACAGTGCTAAATATTGGTTGGGCGAGGGAATTCAAAGTCCTTATCTCTAATAGCAAGTAATTTCCATGAAAAGGATAAATTTTCCTGTCCATTGTGCTTTTATGAGATTGTGTAATCTATTTTTTTTTCCATTTAGTTTGTCATTTAACTGTTTAGCATTCTCATCTAGAATAGCAGGGTGTCTGTTGATGGCTACCTCTATGTATTCACTGTTTTTCTTGGTTTACTATATTCTAGAAATAAAAGTGTATTTCACTTGCCATTGTCAACATTCTGTTCCTATAGATTATTTTGTCAAATGCTTTCTCTAGCTTAATTTAAGTGATTCATGAAATATGGCTTTGATCACAGCCCTTAGAAGAAAAATATGTGTCATGTTATGGCCTATGTATCTTACAAATAGGAAAGACTTCTGCATGGACAATGTGGAGTGTTCTTAGTTCAGATTTCTTTTACTGCTTCAGAACACATTGTCTTACTCACCTTGAATAGTCATTTTCCTTCTGGGCAATAAATATATTTCAAATATTTCATTCTAATCTTATTTTCTGCAAGGAAAGCTTTCTTAATTTAGACTCTAATCTTTTCTTTCATCATCAATACTGTATCTTATTTTATTGCTTTTCTCTGAATACCTTCATCTGTACAGATGCCTTGCTGATGATGAACTTGACTGGAACTCCAGCTAGATGTTCTGTTAAATCTGCACAACCTCTCTCTTGACCTCTTTCATCCATTTTCTTTTGCAAATCTATTCTGTAACCAAGAGAGAATATTCTGGAGAAGTTCCGGTTAGCATCATCTTCTAAGAACCATGTACTTTTTTAAGCCCAATGTTCTGTGTGTAATGCCCCATCATAAAACAAACTCAAAACATGATCTCTTTATCTTGAAACTCTTGATTCAGATCTGTTGCCATCAAAATTAACCAGATTCTCTGTTACTGAAGTATTTCTCTTCAGTAGTAACATTTTGGTCAAATTGCATGCCAACTGCCTGATCTTGTCTTCCACGATGAATTACTTTGTAAATACATCTGTGGATTATTCTTTTGGAGTGTGCAAATTATTCTACCTGACTTTTCTCAATCCTCTGCACTAGGAAGTTAAATAAAAACTTCTTTTTCAAGAAACAAAAGTTTGAAACAAATCCTACATCTATCTGGTCAGAGTGAAATTATAACCATGATTTTAATAATGGTGTCTCTTGACTGCAATCTTGCAATCACTTCACATCTTCTCTTGAAGGGCTAACTTGTACATTTGTGTGATGCCATGGGAAGTAGGCATCAAATCCATAATTGTAGTAAGACTTAGTTTTCATAAACAATGTCAAGAGACTAGATCCGAAGAAGTGTTGGAAATTATCTGATCCTGGCATTGTACTCTATGTCAAAGAAAGTTTTGTTATTTTAACCAATATCATAAGGATAGACATTATCACAATCAATCATACTAAATTCACCTAAAAAGTCAGCACAGTTCACCACTTTGCATCCTTTTGATGCAACCTAGTTTTGCATTGGGTTCCTGAAGTCATGCTCCATTTTCAAATAAACAATAGATAACTAATGAAAAATATCAACAGATTATCATCTAAATCCAGTTTGTTTTATTTTAATATTTAAAAAGTGTATAATTCTATTTTTATTCCACTATCTTAATGTTAGCAGAAGTGTACCTTCTTTGTTGGGTAGTAAAACTCTTAAGGTAAGTTTATTGGAAGAATGGACAATTGCATCATTAATCTTAAAATAATGACCTTTAAATTTTGTATGAAAGGTGAGATGACACAAATAAGTTTCTAATACATAATAATCATTTTTGAAACTGAGACATGATGGTAAATGAATATCACATTCCCTACATAAGAAAATCAAGAGATGACTAATTTCTAAAACCAAATGGGATTTTTATAAAGCATAAGAAAACAAGGATAAGCCAACTAGTCAATGATCCAATATTTAAAAACTGGAAGAAAATAAGACTTCTTAGAGCCATTAATTGTGAAATTTCACACAATAAAAGCTGTTAAATATAGATTTAGAATTACTGAAAATAGAAATAGAATAATAAAGCAAGGAAAACATATGCAGAGTATCATCGCTTCCTCTAATAAGTAGAGAAAAATATAGAAAAAATTCCATTCTTTCTTCTTATATGCCAGATTTTTTTTCTATTGTCTTTAATTCTCTAAAGACATTCTTTAAATGTCTTTAACATTTATTTTGAAGTAAAAGATGGGAATAATGTTGCCAAATCCATAATCAGTATGAATTTAGTAGCTCTGTGCTTCAAAATGCTCCCTAATCTGCCAATTTTGCTTACTTTTAAATTGTGATTATTTAATACATTTACGTACTTAGTGAGCTAAGAATGACAGGACTAGAAATAGAACTATATTGGCTTAAAACATAAGAAAAAAATTCCAAATTAGGAATTTTGTTTATTTCCATACAGAAACAGGCTTTGGGCTTCACCCATTTATGATGCTGTGAATTGCAAGCCATTATTGTGAATCTTTACTGTCACTAAAATATTTTCTGTGAAAAGAAATGGTTTCCCTTGTCATATATTCCCCTGGGCAACTAAAGATCTGGCTTCCATAAGGATGGTTTCAGGACCTGCCTGCTCTTCAGTGTCACCCCTTCCTTTTGTCATTATAACCTCTCAACAACTTTAAATAGCTCATGTTTTTAAATTTCTAAATCTCCATTTGAAAAAAAAGACCTGAATGCTCTTATTAATCTCCCATTTTGCCTGATTCCTCCCCCCCTCCCCCCCCCCGCAAAGAAATGGACTTAGAAGTTAAACAAAACTATATGACTATAGCAGAAATGCATGTGACAAAAATATTTGGTCACCTAGAATCACTGGGTCACTTAAAGTTGACCTCTGAGAGCAGCAGTGCAGGGGACCTTATGATTGTAGAAATCTTGCCATATAATTTTTCTCCGGTTTTGAAGAGGGGCTCTGACTACCCTTTCAGATGTATGTTATTCAGTACGCACAGAAAAACTTAGTCAAGATTGTCAGTATTATTTTATGTCAATTTAAGAGGTGGAAATTCTAAAGGTAGAAATAGGCATTGGTTATTGGCTTATCTTTTAAATCATGCCTGTCACACAAGCCACCCTTGGGTGCAAAAAAGAAAAGCAAAAAGAGTTGTAGTTCTGGCAACAATGAATGCATTAGTTCTTCAGTGATCCCAATGAAACAGGTAAGTATCCCTTTAGTACCATGTACTGGCTGGATGTGCAGGGGCCAAGGGCTTGATGAAGGTCACACAGCAGGGCAGTGGAACTTCCAGGAAAGAAATCTGAGATTCCCCACATACTGTTCCAAGCTTTAAGAGCTGCAGCCCTTGCTTTCTCTCTTGGTGATCTTCAATGCTTTAACTAGGGGATTCATCCCCTTTGAACCCCACTACAATTGTCCCCTATGATGCCTAACAAGGCAGGGTGCTTCTTCATCCTCCTTCTCCCAGATGGTCCATTTATCTGTTCAAGACAGCCAATGAGGAATCCAAATGGCTGGCCTGCTTAATATCATGGAGGCCCACCCATATCTCTTTCAGCACCTAATTCCTTCATATGCCTCTTTCTCCCAATTACCCAACCCCTCTTCCACCTCCCTAATCCCTTCCCAATAGGGTACGTTTTTTTTTTTTTTTTTTTTTTTTTTTTCTCTTGCACTCTCTCTCACTCTCTCTTTTCTGTATCTCTCGGAAATCAGACAGGAGTTCAGAGCACTTTCACTACCTTTTATGAGGTAGATTGTGATGTCATAGATGGGGGCAGGGCTAGTCAACTTTCTACCCACCTCCCAACCTGTGCTGAGGGAGCTCCAATCGGGAGTGGAAGCAGTGATTCTTCCATGGTGAGTAACTTTGCTTTCTAATCTAATCTGACTTACTGTAAAGATTAACTTTGAAAGCAGGGGGATGGGGTTTCAAGGAAGTAAAGATGTGACCACTCAAGGTCTCTTTACTTACTGTTAACCAACTTTGGGCATAGGATCTACTTATTTATTCTTTATATGAGTCAAGAATTCCACAGCACAGATATACTCTTCAAGCATGATCTAAACTTGAGAATTGAAAATGGTGTTTTCATTCCTTTATTTCTGTCTTTCTTCCCATTGGGACTGAAAGTCACTGCATATGTGGAATGAATCCATTCTGTAGTCCTTTGGTGAGCTTCTCTAAGGAAGGCTAGTTAGAATGTATTCTTCTTCCTTTGAAAGATTTCAGGATCACAGAATATCTTTTATTGATGTTTTCCCAGAGAATCAGTCTGCTCTTCTAAAACTGGGGTAAAACTGTGAAGAAACTGATACATAAGAAATATCAGCAAACTTGGTTTTGATGTAAACAAATGAAAACTTTCTAAGGCAAAGACTAAAATATTAACAAAAAAGAGTCACCGCTCTTGCAAGATTAAGGGTGCAGCCATGTCAAGGTGTCACAAACACATTTGCTGCCTTGTTTTTGTTGCATGTCATAACACTGATGCTGTTTTGTAGAATTTCTTGGTAGTTAAGAGCTGTGAAAAGCTGGTGTTCTTTGTGTCATTTGGGTTTCTATTATTGCAGATTACTTCTTTTATATGCCTTAGTATTTAGAAAGGATCAACCAGAGTGAGCATTTTTCTCCACTTTCCTTGTTCTCTTCTGGCTACCTATTAAAACTGTCAAGATGTTAGCTTTTATATAAAAGGGCAAAAGAAGTTCATGCAGGTGCTTAAATCTTTAAGGGATGTCGAAGCATCCAGGTGGGTGTTTTTTAAAAGGTTTGACCATCAGAATGTGAGGCTCTAAAAAAAATTAAAAATAAAAAACAAAAGAATGTGAGGCCCTGTTATTTTTCATGAGTGGGATAAAAGCATCCTGTTGTGGATCATGGGTAATATGAAAAATGTTAGGAGGGTATCATTCATTCTTTCAAAGTATGTATGCCTAGTTCACTGGCAATATATGGATATTGGTAATAGAGAATTGGGGGCAGTTTAAAAGGAGGAGTCCTTTCTCATCGACAGCTTTTCTGTTATGTGTCCACCCCCTCTGCCTCCCAGCCCCGACCCCCAAGTTATGCACTTCTACAGCTCAAAAGCACTAAAGCTGATACTGCCCTTTTTGTTACCTGGGGTGACTTCTGAAGTTATTTTCTCACTTCAGCTTTCTAACTTAAAGAAGTGACTGTAATGGTAGAGATTTCAGACACAATAAGGAAAACTAGAGCCATAATTGGCCAATAGGAAGATTTAGGTGATAATCACCTGAAGTAAACTTAATATTGCGATGTGGGTAGCAATGCCAAAGTCTTACATGTTGGATGATCCTTCTCAAGTCTCTGGCTTACCTTCCATTAGAAGTGCCAGATCCCTGAAACCCAGGTAGAAGCAAACCTTCAGTGCCAGAAAAATCTGATGTCTAATCATAGCTCAAGTTTGTAATGTCTTTTATCAACCCCTCATACAGCTGCCAGGTAAGAAATGCTCATATCTTATAAAGCCTTGGAATACAATCATCTTTAAACTTTGTGAGTTAAGAACGGTTGTGTTGTGCACTTGTACAAATTGAGAGAGTCTATCATGGAATGCATTGTGCATGCACTTGTTTATCCTCATGTGCATGTTTCATTTATAGTGGTGTGCAGTATTTCTTTACCCATTTTGTATTTATTAAACTTATAATTGTAAAATGCATACATATATTGTGCTCTAAATGAAACTGAATTCTAACAAAAGTTGCATTAAGTTGAGGTCTGAACACTGGTGTACTAGTCCTATTTCTGTCACTGATTAATTAGGTCACTCAAAGTAAATTACTTAGATCTCTAGAGCCTCAGTTTTCTCATCTATAAAATGATGATAGATGACCTAAAGGTTATATCCTAAGGTATCTTTGCTCTGAAATTCTACAGTTTTGTAATATATTTTTGAAGAAATGGTTTATGGGAAAATGATTGAATATGTTAATGAGATATAGTTTGTGTATGAGACATACAATTATTCAAATAGAAAGTTTCAGTCCAAAGTAGGTTTTAAAATGTACCCTACATCTGATGTAATGTTATTTGTTTAATGATGTGAGTCATATTCTTTTAAATGGATAATATCAAGCCTGTGAGATAGTTAGTGAACTATGTGTTGATTTGGAAGACTGATTTGTTTTTTAGCTCCATATTTTATTTTATTCTATGTGAGATAATATATATATATATATATATATATATATATATATATATCCCTACCTAATAGGTAATAGATAGAGCTAAGTTTCCTTAAGACTCTAAAATTCAAAATTACCTATGCAGTATTGCAGGAATTCTCTCATGCTGTTGGGAATAGTTGATGAGTAGGGAATTGGTAGGTATTGAGCTATGTGCTATGGGGGATAAAAGACAGACAAGGTGTGGCTACTGCTCTTGAGAAATGTGCAAGCTTTTTAGGAGTCTAGACACATGCCAAGTGTCAACTTAGATGTGAAGACAGTGTCAAAGAACTAAAAATATCCCATGTTCTGGGGTAGGCTGGATTGCACTGGGAAGGCTTTGTGAGAAGTTGAGGCCTTCAGCTAACTGTGAACATAAGGAAGGGAGGGAAGCATTTCAGGTCAGCAAGACCACAGATTCGTAAATGTTGCAGAGGATATCTTGTGTTTAGATATGCCATGTATCAAAATCAAAAGTCTTTGCTTATAGTTCAGCCCCATACTTTTCCTGAGTCCCTTAATCCTTAATCATATGCTGACTCTACAATGTATGATATACCTGTTTAGAAGAGTTGGGGAGGCTGCAAGTAAGTGAATTGCAATGATTATTTCTTAAGACATAATCAGGCAGCCATTTTCTCAGTTATGACGAAGGTCAAATGATCACTCACAGCCACAACTGTGGAAGAGAAATAAATACAAGAAAAGAATTATGAACAGAAGGAGATTCTAGCTCTGAGACAGTCTGGTTTTCTGATGAAGGTGGAAAGGGATTATCATGTTGGATTATCAAAGGGATTATCATCGATAGATTTAGAAATGTTGGATGGTCGTGGAAATGCCCATAGGCTAATGAGAATCTATGTAACCAGGATGATTTTCCGAAAAGCAAACAGAAGTTTCTCTGTGCACAGAGCAGGAATCATGTCAGACTCTGCTTTCAAACAGTCAATGTTGAGAAGGCTCAAACACTAAGTAAAACTGCACATGAGTATGCTAGTCTCTTTCCCTGATACACTTGGAAAGAGGTTATTGATTGCAGCCTGATTTACCCACATGGGCAAAGAAGCACACTTCCATTTGAAAGACTCTCTGTTTCTTTAGATTCATAGATGATTTGCACTGTATGCTTTGCATCACTTAGAAGGCACTGTTTTCTGTATTTCTTGCCATCCAAGTTCCTTCCAAGTTATTATGCTGGCCTTTCTAACAGATCGGAATTCCATGAGTAGATCTGCCTTATCACTTATCCTAGACTCTAAGACTTGGTTTACATCATCCAGTGAAATGTTTCTTAATTTCCTATCATGACATGAAAATTAATTTCTAGGATATATTATCTCAGGAAATCACTTTTAAAAGCTAATCGTATCTATATGAGAATGATGAAGTAGTAAGATCAAAGTCAGTTTTACAAAGCAAGAAATGTTCTCTTAGAAAGATCAAAGTCAGTTTTACAAAGCAAGAAATGTTCTCTTAGAACTAATTTCCCCAAAAAAGTTCAAGTAGGACTTATGTGAAATTTTGTGGAAGAATATAGATTATTAAAGGAAATTAGTGATATTAGAATTATATTTGTCCCAAGAGAACAATAACAAGGATGGCAACTGATCCCCTTCTCCCCATAAACGTCCCCAGAGGTAATTTCAGAAATAGGAGATCAGTTAGATTTATAATTGAACAAACATTTATGGAGTAAATAACATGTGATATTCACTGTTCTATGGATGGACATGGAATTAGCATGGACAACAGACACATAATCAGTAACTGTGATACATTATAATAATCACTCTAACAGAAATATATACAAAGTGATATGGACATTCCTGTAGAGAAGGGGAAGAGGAAGCTTCATAAAGTGGGTAATATATTTTTGAGCCTTCATAGATAAATGGATAGGAGTTTTCCAAGTTGAGGAAGAGAGAAAGGATTAGCCCAGGAGAGAAACAGAATGCCCATAGTATTGAGGTATAAGTGTGCTATTCTGTGCTGACTGGACCTGAAAATGTCAGAGATGGGTGGAAAAATGGAGAAAAGTAAAAGGTGAAGTTAGAAAGGTAGGTGGGGACTGGATAGCAAAGAAATTTTTTTGACCCATTCTGATTTTAATGAGTGTTTCTCAAAATGGTCAGAGATGCCAAACCCAACAAGGGGTGGGAGGAGACTGTTAAAATGCAGAACCCTGGGCTATGCTGCAGACCTCTTGAATCAGAAGCTGAGAGTAGTTTCTTGGAATCAGTAATTAACTTCTTTACCCCACCCCCAACCCGTACTAGGTGATTCATTTTTCAACCAAAGTTTCAGAATCTCTATAAGGCACAAAAGTGACTCATTGTGTTTCTATGTTGTTGGAAGAAGTTTCAGAAAAAAAATTAAAATATTAAGAATAAAAGATTTGGGAAAACTAGGATTTAGAGGTAATATAAGAATGTTCTCGAGCAAATTGGTTTAAATTTTGGATTAGAATAAAAAAGAATTTCTAAGAATCTTGAGTATAAAGAATTACTAAGTCATGCTGTTAAATTTCCTTGAAGGAAAAGCATGAGACTAGAAACATTTAAGGGACACTCTTGCGTCTTTCAGTGTCATGTCATAAGGGGTTAATGAAGTTCAGAGCTAAATTTTTCTACAGCTCCCAAGTTGTGTGAAGATAAGGAATAAAG